ACATAGCCCTTCCTCTTCACTTAGAGCCTCATTTTGCCTGCTTTGAGATGCCACTCAAACTGATTCAACTTAATCTATTCAGTTTGAAGACTTGAACTCTTTCTGTCATCTTTTTGTTGTTGTCATTGTTTTTTTTTGTTGTTTGTTTTTGTGAGTGTGTGTGTGTGTGTGTGTGTGTATGTGCTAAGCAAGTGCTCTACCACTGGGGCATATCCCAGCCCTTTTTATTTTATTTTGAGACAGTGTTTCTCAAGTTGTCCCAGCTGGTCTTGAACTTCTGATTCTCCTGCCTCAACCACCCTAGTTACTGAGACTGCCCCTCAGTGCCCAGCTGTTTCTTCAACTTTCCTTAAGAATTTTTGGGGGGCTGGGGTTGTAGCTCAGTGGCAGAGTGCTTGCCTAGCATGTATGAGGCACTGGGTTCAATCCTTAGCACCACATAAAAAAATAAACAAATAAAATAAAGGCATTCTGTCTATGGACAACTATAAAAAATTTTTTTTAATTTTTTTGGCCAATCTCAATGGAAATTAAGTCCTAGGTTGGTAGATAGAAGTGAAGAGCAGAAATCAATTAAGTAGATTGAAATAAATTTAATAGATTAACTTGAATCTATAATTTAAAACATTCCTACAAAGAAAACTCCAGGCTCAAAGGATTACATTAGTAAATTCAATAAAATATTTATGAAAGACATAATAGCAATACTAAAATAAATTTTAGAAAGCAGAAGAGGAAGGTATACTTCTTACCACTTCTCTCAGCCTAGAATTATATTATTACCAAAATCAAAGATCTTGCATATGAAAAAAGTTAAAACAGAAACAAAAAGCTAGAGACCCAAATCTCACACACAGATGCAAACGTTCCAAATGAAATACTTTAAAATCAATTGCATGTCTGTATGTAAATATATACATATATATACATGAAAGTAAAATATGATCATTTAATATTTATTCAAGAATTCAACATGAGTTTAGCATTAGAAATCAATCATTCAGTTAACATAGTTCACTCTATTACCATAAAAGAAGAAAAAACATTATCATCTCAAAGATGCAGAAAAAGTATTTGAAAAATTTAACAACCATTCAAGATATTAAAAATTCTCAGTAAGTTAGGACTAGAGGGAAACTTCATTGAACCTGATAAAAGGTGCCTATGTAAAAATCACTATTAGCATACTATTAGCATAGTATTCAGTGGTTAATGATTATTTCCTAAGTTTGGGTACTTAGTAATTATTTGTGAATAATTACTATCTTACCATTATTGAATCTGCCAAGTCATGAACATAATATATATCTCCATTTTAAAGTTTATTATATATAGAAATAACATGTACATTTATCGGAAATGATGAAGTGAAAGTGTCTTTATTAGCATATTACCAGGTCTTATGTATAGAAAATCCTTAAACATGTTCAAAAAGCTACTAGAAAAGTACATGAATTAGCAAGGTAACATCCTACAGATGAATTTTAAAAAAATATTATTTCTAAATACTAGTAGCAAAAAAATTGAAAAAGTAAGAGAAAAGATAACAGTTCCAATGACATCAAATGATATGAAATAGTGATAAATTTAACATAATGCATTCTAGATCTATACCAAAACAAACAAACAAAAAACACCCAGAAAACATTGTGGAACAAACTAAAGACATAAATTGAGAAATGGAGATATATATTATGTTCATGAGTTGGCAGATTCAATAATGGTAAGATAGTAAATTATTCACAAATTGACCACTAGTTCCCTCGACCCCCACATCCCCAATGCTGGGGCTCAAACTCAGGGCCTCACATATGCTAGGCAAGTACTTTACCATTGAACCACACACCCAGCCCTGACCAGTAGGTTTAACATGACTCTGATGAAACTACTAGAAGACCTTCCTTTTGAGATGAAAGGTAGAATTTGAAAAACTGATTTTAAAATTTACGCAGACATAAAAAACAAGAAAAATCAAACAATTTTGAAAATAATGAACATAATAGCAGAAATTCTACTACTTGAATTCAGGACTTATCATAAAGCAATAGTTATTAACATACAATGTAGTATTGTCTTAAAGATAAACCTGTCGATCAATGAAGCAAAATAAAAGAGTCCAGAAATCCACACATATGGGCAATTGATCTTTGAAAACTGTGCCTAAATAATTTAATATTAAAAGGTAGTCTTTTCAACAAATAGTGCTGGAATAACTTGATACACATATAGAAAAAAAATGATACTGTAACAAAAATAATTTCAAATTGATCATAGACTTAACCATAAAACTGAAACTATGAAAGTCTAGAAGAAAACAAGAGAGAACAGTTTTGTGACTTTGGCGGTGCAAAAATTCCTTATAACATAAAAAAAAATAAATTGTAAAATAAAAAGTTTAGTATATGGACTTTATCAAAATGAAGAACTGCTCTTTGGAAGACATCATTTAAAAATGCAAATAACATTTATGGACTTGAATATATATGTTGATCCAGTGCTCCTTTATAAAATATATAATACTAATATTACTATTAATAATAATAATACAACTAATGCAATTAAAATTTGGAAATATATTTGAACATGTACTTCACCAAAGGTTTGAATGGCCTGTAAGATCATGGAAAAGTACTAAAATTATTGATTCATCAGAAAATGCAAGTTAGAACCATAATGACATACTACAATGCACACTCACTAGAAAAGCTAAAATTAAAAAGTGTTTTATCAAGTGTGGCAAGGGTAGAACATGTGAGAATCACATACATTGCTGATTGAAATGTGAAATGGTACAAAAAACTTGTAAAATAGTTTGTCAGTTAAATATGATCTAGCAATTCCACTCCTAGGTATTTACTCAAATGAAATCATATATTCACACAAAGATTTGTGCACAAATATTCATCTTTGAAACACACCCCAAGTGGAATCAATTCAAATATCTAATAGTTAGTGGGTAAACAAACTGTTATATATTCATACCACTCAGCAATAGAGAGAAAGGAAACACTGTTGAATGCAATAATGTGGATGAATACCAAGACATACTCGTCAGAGTGAAACATCAAAATATACATGTTGTTACTTAATTTTTATAAAATTCTAGAGATGACAAAGCTAGTGTATAGTGGTTGAAAAGTTAGTCAGTGGATGGTTTCTTAGGACAAGGGAATAGGAAGCAGAGATTGACTGGAAAGGGACATAAAGACATGTTTCAGAACTTGGAATGGAATCACCATTTGACCCACTTATCCCACTCCTGAGTATATACCCAAAGGATGTAAAATCAGCATAACTATAGTGACATGGCCTCATCAATGTTTATAACATATAAACATATATAACATATTTATAATATGAACCAACCAAGGTGCCCTTCAACACATGAATAGATAAAGAAAATGTATATATATACACAATGAAATATTACTCATCCCTAAGAAAAATAAAATTATGGCATTTGCCAGTAAATAGATGGAATTGGAGACTATCGTGCTAAGTGAAATAAGTCAATTCCAAAAAACCAAAGTCTGAATATTCTCTCTGTTATCTTCTAACACACAATAAGCAGGGCCCCGGGTAAAGAAGAAAGTACTTTTTATTAGACAAATGGGAATGAAGGGAAGGGAGGAGTGGATGGGAATAGAAAAAAACAGAGAATGAATTGGACATTACTTTCCTATGTTCAAATATGAATACATGACCAGTGTAAACTAAAAAATCATGTAATGCATAATAGGAAGTTATATTCCATGTTGTATAATATGTCAAAATACATTCTATTGTCATGTATAACTAAAAAGAACAAATAAAAAAATTTTAAAAAGGAAATGTTTGAGGAGATGCAAATGCTTTTTGTCTTGTGGTAATTTCAGGAAGTGTAGACGGTCTTTGAACTGTACTCTTGAAATGGGTGCATTTTATAGTATGTAACTTATAGCTCAATAAAGTTAGTTTAAAAAATAATTAATTATTTGGCTGAGCCAGGGAAAACTGTAGATATTCAGCCAATTTTAACATATGAAAACATACATTTTACAGATAGTTTAATATTTTATAAATGAACAAAGCTATAACTTGTAATTAATTCAAATTGAATTTTGAAAATGCTTTTACCATGAATTATATTTGATTCATAATGAGTGCACCTTAAAAAAATGAAAAAAATATATACATCCCTCCTCCTTTATAAATCACTGATAGAGGACCACTGTTGTTGATGCATATTGGAACTGAGTAGAAAGAGAACATCATTGAGGGCTACTTTTATTGTAAATTATAGGATCTCCTGTATCAAGTTGATTAACTCCAATTAAGAGTGCTGTAGCACTATCTACCTCAGATTTCACTCTGTGAAGCATATTACTCTCAGGGAAATTTTGGAAATTAATTTTTAAAAGTGATAAAATTTTTCACAAGTCAAACATACATTTTTCTTTCCTTCTTAATAAGAAGCTTGAAATACTAATTTCTTAGAATGAAAGCAATCTTTAGAAAACTTAACAAGAGTGAAAAAATTTAAAAATCAAATTCAAGATGCTCACCTTAAGTGCAGCAATGTCACTTGCCTAATTCAAGAGCATATTTTTTTTAAAGCAACAAGTTTCCAGGTAAAATTAGATTAACATAATCAATTAAATCCTCATTTTCCTTCTTCTGAAAATTTTATTTTATATGTTTTAATTGACACAGTCATTGTACATATTTATGGGGTACAGTGTGACTTTTCCAACACATGTACACAATGTGTAATGCTTAGATCAAGATCCTATACACCACTTCAGACATTTTTCATTTCTTTTTGTTTGAATCATTTAAAATCCTCTCTACCAACAATTAATATGCAATTAATTTGTGCCAGTCATAGTTATGATTCTGTGCTATAGAAGATTAACATTCATACCTCAAATCCAACTGTACCCCTGTACCCATTAACCAACTCTCTTTCCCTTCCCAGGCTTTAATATCACTGGTATTTTTTTAATGTGTTTTTTTTTCAGGTGTGTTCATGTTTCTACTTCTGAATGATTAAGAAATTGGCTGTGGTAGACTTGGAAAAAATCTATTAAGGTATGTTACTGCAAAAACAGAATAAAGAACAATGAGTGGCAAATTGTGACACTCTGGAGAGCAATCACAGCATAGTCAACCTTTGCTCTGCCTTAGTTTTTCTTAACGTGTACTTTGCTGATATCCAGATGGTTACAACTGTCTAATAGTAGTTGTTCTTCAAAGGGCAAGCCAGGTTGTTTTATAAGTACTCATGTGCCACATACATTGGAAACATTTTGGGTGAAATAGTTCTTTTGTGTGTTTGGGATGGGGTCTCCCTATGTTGCCCAGGCTGGCCCCAAACTCCAAGGCTCAAGCTGTCCTCTTACGTCATCCTGCTGAGTGGTTGGATTACAGGTGCGTGCCAGGGCACCCAGAGTGAAACGGGTCTTGTGGTAAGATTGCTAGATACAGTAAGGTATGGCTAGTTAAATTCAAATTTCTGATGATTTTTTTCACTTAAGTATGTTCCAGGTAATATTTGGTTTTTGTCTTAAAATCAAAATTAACTGGGCATCTGGAATTTTTATTTGCTAAATCTGTCAACCCTTTCTTGATCATGTAATGATTAATATAATTCAATGAAATAATAGCCCACAATTCATTATGTTTTATAAAATATGCTTGGAATATTCCAAAATTAAAAAGGGATTGGACTAACTGGAGGAGTCCTTTCTTATCTTTCATTTAAACCGCCTGTGCTGTTTTTGATAATGCTACACAAACGTATGGATAAAATAAATAATTAAGCAATCGATCCATATCTATATAAAGAAGTAGTCAATACTCTATTACTTCTGTAATACTTCTGGATTGTGTATTGTACAACTTCCAGAGAGAAAAGAATGGTCTCTCTGAGAAAGGTTGACAGGAACTACATTTTCATTTCCTCTGAAAAATTCCTCATGCACTTGGCTCTGATACCATCTTGTGTGTGTGTTTACTTGTACACACAAACACACACACACACACATGTTCTGTTGATTTCTGTTGCAATCAAGTTCCATGCTATTTTTATCTGAAAGAAGAAATTGGAAGGTAATATCCAGGCATGAATATTTGGTGTTTATTTGGACCGTGTCATTAATGTTTCCAGTTTGCTGAATGGTTTCCATGTTTCCCAGAGGTTTTCACCCTGTAAAAGCTGATGGATGGGCTGACAGAGCTTCCAGGCCTGGGCTGGGGTAATGTGAGCTCAGTGCCTGGAAACAATAAAACAGCAATTTTCTGAGAGATTTACCTGCAGAAGAGCCAGGAACATAAAAGCCCTTTTCAGTATCCCATCCTGAGCCTGTTCTTTTCTCCTATTCCCGGGAGGGGTTTGGGAGGACTGTATCCTGTCAGGTTAATTGAGGGTGACATTAAATGTAATCTCAGCAGCAGCCACTGTAATGGCTCCAAGGGAAAGACCAGTGGAGCAGGTGGAGGCTTCATGTCAGGAACAGCAGAGGCGAAGGCCACGGGGGTTAGGAGATGTCAGATCTTTTCACTTGAATGCTGGAGGCATCCAGTTGACATTTGACAAGCCATGGTTGAGGCTCCAGCAGTGGCTGTGGACCAAGGGAAGGCTTCTCCTCAGTGGAGTCCATCAGGGCTGGGCCAGGATGGTCTAAAATTCACATTGGGTGCAGCCCACCCCACTGCATCCTTAGCTGCACTTTGAAACTGGGTCTTCATGTCACACATGAGGATGGGATATATGTCCTAGAACAGGTATCGGCAAGAGAGCTTTGGAGTAAGGAGGCCTGGACTGAAGGACGTGAGAGGCTGCCAATGGGATCCTGGCTCTCCAAGTCTGCTGTGGATCAGTGATCAACTGGCCTGGGCCTGAAGTGCTCATCTCAGCCCACAGCCTGCAGGACACATTATTTACAATACACAGAACTGTATTGATTCTACCTACCATTGCCATTTCTTCTTTGGTAACCTAAGAATCATGTAACAACAATTCACTCTGAGGTTCACCCAGTAATCCATAACTCTCCTAAATGTTAAATCCCCATAAACTTAAAATAAGTTCTCTAGATGACTTAAGAAAATAATATTTGAAAGTTTCATTTATTGGACTTTTGGGTTCTCACAAGAAAACAATCTTGGCAGCCATTAGGAAGTCAAACAACAACAAGTGCTGGCGAGGATGTGGGGAAAAGGGTACACTTGTACATTGCTGGTGGGACTGCAGATTGGTGCAGCCAATTTGGAAAGCAGTATGGAGATTTCTTGGAAAGCTGGGAATGGAGCCACCATTTGACCCAGCTATTCCCCTTCTTGGTCTATTCCCTAAAGACCTAAAAAGAGCATGCTACAGGGACACTGCTACATCGATGTTCATAGCAGCACAGTTCACAATAGCAAGACTGTGGAACCAACCTAGATGCCCTTCAATAGACGAATGGATAAAAAAAATGTGGCATTTATACACAATGGAGTATTACTCTGCATTAAAAAATGACAAAATCATAGAATTTACAGGGAAATGGATGGCATTAGAGCAGATTATGCTAAGTGAAGCTAGCCAATCCCTAAAAAACAAATGCCAAATGTCTTCTTTGATATAAGGAAAGTAACTAAGAACAGAGTAGGGACGAAGAACAGGAGAAGAAGATTAACATTTAACAGGGATGAGAGGTGGGAGGGAAAGGGAGAGAGAAGGTAAATTGCACGGTAATGGAAGGAGACCCTCAGGGTTATACAGTGGAGGGGGTAGAGAGAGAGGAGGGGAGGGGAGGGGAGAGGTGGGGAGGGGGGAGGGTGGATGATGGGAAAGGCAGTGGAGCACAACAGACACTAGTATGGCAATTTGTAAATCAATGGATGTGTAACTGATGTGAATCTGCAATCTGTGTATGGGGTGAAGGTGGGAGTTCATAACCCACTAGAATCAAAGTGTGGAATATGATATGTCAAGAAATTTGTAATGTTTTGAACAACCCACAATAAAAAATTAAAAAAATAAAAATAAAAAAATAAATAAATAAATAAATAAATAAATTAAATTAAATAAAAAAAAAAAAAAAAAGAAAACAATCTTTTTTTTTAGCCCCTGAGTTTAGAAACCTAATGTGGCACTACCTTGTATGATGTGATGTGATAGAGAAATTGGCTGTGTCTTATTTACTTACACAGGATAGGAGCATCACTAAAGACGGAAAGAAGATTTTTAGTCCTGGAGGCCCCGAGCTCCCTTTCTCTTAGAGGAAGCTTAGGAGGCTTGGTTAGACTTACTGTCAAGATGGTAGCAGAGATCAGGGGTGAGAGGGAGGAGTTCAGTCAGACCTTGAGAGGCAAGTTAGGTTTTCCTGAGACTGGAGGAAATAGATGTTTGAAAGCAGGCCTTTCTAAGACACAAGTTTTCACTGGTGGACACTTTACATTCTTCAGTCCCACCCAGGTGCTTCAAAAGGACATGGACACTGAAAGGGTGGCACATGGATGCCAGGGAAAGGAACCCAAAATGCTGCTGCCTTGATAGCCTCAGCAAGCCCAGAGGCCAAGCCATGTGGTGACAGGAGCAGCTGATGTCATGGCCAGCACAATGGTGAATAGAGCACATGCCTGTGGTAGAATGGAGGTGTAGGCCATTGGGTCAGCTTCTGACCCAAGCCGGACCACTATCCAATCCTCAATGAGGATGTTGGAGCCACACTTCTGTCCTTGGCCTAGTTATTGGCCTCAAAGGAGCAGAGTGTTAAACACCATCAACTTTGCTTTGTTGAAACGCTAATGGGGGAGGCCATCTGGAGCCTTCTTCCCCAGCCAGAGCTAGAAGTGAGAGGACAGGCTGGCCACTAGGCAGAAGCAGAATGTATTTCAGGGACTCTGGCTGGGTGTCAGGAGCTGGGGGTTGCACATGAACACTGGCCAAATGTCCAGAGATCTTTCCAGAGAGAAGCTTCAATTGTTGTGGCTCAGCATCCCATCTCTGTCTGATCTTCTCTCCAGCACCACCTCCAGGTCTCTGCTGGCACTGGTACTTTCTGGACTGATTGGTCCCATTAAATGACTTTCAGATGGTGATTTCCTGTTTCAAGGATGAGTGAGCATTTCCACAAGTTGCATCTCATTTTACTAATATCACTAATTTCTTTGCTTTCTTGCATCTAATCAATCATTCCACTTCTTCTGTGGATTTCATTAATGGGTCATTGATGCCCTCTTCCAGATCGTTAGTGAAGATGTCAAATTCTGACCAGACATAATACCAATTCCCATGGCTTGCTGCTGGCTGCCCTGACATCACCTGGAGGAGGCATTCATCATTCTCACACATATGCCTTCATTATTCCAAACCAATTTTAACCTATTTTTCCAGAAACACTTCCTAGGAAGCTAAAAAAAAAATCAATGCTTTCCCCAGGAACTCCTAATTTTCACAGGACCAGAACAGATGGCCCCATGACACAGCACACTATAAGCAGCAGTGAAACCTCAGCCTCTGCTAACCAGACAGTTCAGGCTCATTCATTCCTTTTGTCAGTGGAAGAACCAAAAAAAGGATTATATCCTTCTGCTATAATCCTCATTGTTTATGCCTTTTCAGAATCTCACTTTTATGTTGATTCGCCTCTTTTATTTGACAGAAGATTTAATTTCAATCCATTTTCTGGCTACTCTTCAGGTGCTCATGCAAATCAGCAGGTTACTGGATGGCTGCGAAGCTCACACAGGTGGCTAAAGTTTAAGTTCAGAGAAGATGATATTCTCAATGGACTGGAGAGCAGGTATTGTTTCCCTGACCCTCTTTTACCCATTTTCAGTACAAACCAGGTTCTAATTATATGAAGTTAATCAAAGAAAATCATCTAGTTGATCAAGACAGTTTGTTTTTATTTTTAACCTTAGGTGCCTGGTTACACAGAATATTCACATTTCAGGCATACCTGAATGCCAACTATTTTCCCTTTGCCCTGGAGTTTCTCTCTGAAATTCAAGAAAGGAAAGCCATTTTGTTCTTCTATGTATTAAAATGCCTTTTTTTAATGAGGAGAAAATGTAAAATTGTATCTCTACCATAATTACAAGTGCAAATAAAATACTGAGGCATACTGAAAAGAGAACTAAAAAACGAAGCCTTTGGATGGTTGGAATGGCAAAATTGAAGATAAATTTATCTGCATTTTATTATAATTTTGTTTTATATTTTTAACAATGTAATCTGTATTGTACTCTTACAAGAATTCTTATGAGTGTTGATTCAAAGCTGTGAAGAGGAGAAATGTTACAAACCTTGAGGAAAGCAGTTTCTCTCTGCTTGGAGTCCAAGATGAAAGTGGATCTCCCATTAACCAAGTGATGTGGCATTTGCTGAGCAATGGTTTTTATATATTTCCCAGGCAAAGGGATCTTTGGTATTACTATTACATGACTTCACGCCAAATGTCATGTGAGTTATAACATATAACTCAAAAAGTATTCTAAAAGTTACAATGCCAATGAGTCTTTGCATGCTCTACCAAGTTTAGTCAGGATTTTCTGATTTTGTATGGTAATATGGCATAGCACAGCACTGTAGACAAACATATAGCACAGTAGTGAGAACACTGTGGAAACTGCACAGGTTCAAATCCTGACCCTGTCACATATTAACTGTATGATTGTGGTTTAATCTCTCTGAACTCTGGTTTCACCAGATTAAAAAATGTAATAATAACAACTATCAATTGTGAGGATTAAGTGTGAATGTTATTCAGGGTTCTCCAGAGAATTGTAGTTCTAGTCCAAAGTCAGCTTGCTGTCAGAATTCCTTCTTTCTTAAGAGATCAGTCTTTATTCTGTCAAAGACTCTCACCTTACAGAGAGTGATCTACTTTATTCAAAATCTACCCATTTAAACATTAGTCTCACCCAAAGATACCACCATAGAAATATCTAGAACACAGTTTGACCAATTATCTGGGGATGCTCTGGCCCAGTCATGTTCACATACAAAATTAACCAGCACAATGAGGTGAAGTGTGTAAAGAGGAAAAAGCTAAGAGTCGGAAGCATTCAATAAACACTTCTCATTCCATTATGCATTCTAGAGGCATTGGAGATGAGGATGAAGTTGTCGGTTTCAAGTTGGTCTTTGTTGAAAGTTTCTGATGAGGATTAATTGAAATACAGCTAAGGAGTGGTGGATAATTATCAATTCTAGTTCAAGACAAGTGACCCTGCAAATTGGCTACTCTACCTCCCAAAAAAAGAAGACCCTGGAAAAATGAACCTATAAAGTCACATCACTGATATGAACCAGAAGATATTTTCAGGGTGATTAATAAATGATAAATAGCTGTACTCTCCTTGCTCTTGGGTAATGCAAGACCAACACTGTAGTGAGAAATAAGCACAAAGCCTTCATTTTTTTAGTTTTCTTTTCCAAAGTAAACCACTTGAAGAAATAGATGTTCTAAAAGATATGCCACCTATTTAGTTTGTTCAGGCTGTTACAACAAAATACCACACACTGATGTTTTAGTCAGCTTTTCACCACTATTTTAGAGGAAGAACAATTTTAGAGGAAGAAAATTTATTTGGCGCTCATGGTTTAGAGGCCTCAGTCCATAGATGGGTGGCTCCATTGCTCTGAGCCTAAGATGAGGCAGAATATCATGGCATAAAAGCACAGCAGAGGAAAGCAGCTTGGGACATGGGACCAGGAAGGAGGGAGAAAGAGAGAGTGTGTGTGTTCTGCTCACCAGGGACAAAATATAAACCCCAAAGCCATGCACCCAGTAACTCACTTCCTCTAGCCATACCATACGGTGCCTACAGTTACCACTCAGGTAATCCATATCAGTGAGTTAATACACTGATTAGGTTAAGGTTTTTATAAAACAGTCATTTCACTTCTAAACTTCCTTGTATTGTCTCACATGAGAGCTTTTGGGGAGACACCTCCTATCCAAACCATAACAGCTGGGTAATTCATAAAAACTTGAGAGTTGTTGACAGTTCTGGAGGCTGGAAAGTCCAAGATTAAGGTGCCAGCAGATCTGATATCTGAGGAGAGCTTGCTCTCTGCTTCGAAGACTGTGGCTTGTAGATGTGTTCTCTCATGAGGAAGGGTAAAATGGCTTCTTCAAGTCTCTTTTACAAGGACACTGGTCTGATTGATTCATGGGGCTGGAGTCCTCATGTCTAAGGCCCAGTGCAACGAATGAATTTTGGAGGGACACAAATATACAGACCATCGTACTCCACAAATAATTAGAGAGAGAATTAGAAGAAAACATAAATGTACCATTAATTACTGTGGGAAACAATTTTTTAAAGACATTAAAGTTTCCTACATGTATACTCAACACAAATTTTATTCTGACTTGATTAGTAATCATGACCTTAACCGGATCTGATGTTTCAGACTTACAAGTTCTCAGCAAAGACAGCTCATCCTTACACTGTCCTCCTGGAAAATAAAACCATCTATAAAAATACAAATAGTGCTTCATAGTACACATGAAAGTGAAAGAGACTTCAGGTATTATTTGTGAAGAATCATAGGTTTTTTAAAATGAGCCTAAATGGAAAGTATACTGAAATGGTGACAGAATCATCCACTGGTCCGTGTTCCCTTTGGAAATGTTTTCCTCCTTCTATTACAAAATGTTCTAAGCCAACTTCCTCTCTTGTAACACAGAAAAAGTAATATAATCTGTCTGCTTTTTAGAGGAGTTGCTTTTAGCACATACAGCCCAGATATGTGAAAACGCTTTGAAAAATGAAGTGATGTAAGTGGAGTCATTATTCTTAGTATTAAAAATAAGGGAAGAGTGACAGTGTGGGAAAACAGGAAGGGTAAGAGCTTTAGAATCAGCTAATGTGAAGGCCAAATAGCAATTCTGCCTCTCCTTTCTTTGTGTGATGGCAAGAAGTCCCCTTACCTTCCTTGAATAACAACAACAACAAAAATGTCAGGCTTTCTATACTGAAGTTTCCAGTGTCTGTACAATTGTGTGTGTGTGTGTGAATATGTGAATGTGTATGCATCAATATGTAAGAGGAAGGCAGATGTGAAATTGCTGGACTTCATGGTACATTGAATAGAATCGTACTATTTGTTATGGTTTATATGTGAGGCGTTCCCCAAAGCTCATGTGTGAGACATTGTAGGAAAGTTTAGAGGTGGTAACTGTAGCAGGTAGGGTGTGGCTGGAGGAGGTAGGTCACTGGGGCCGTGCCTTTGGGGTTTTTATTTTATTCCTGGTAAGTAGAGAGCTCTCTCTCTCTGCTTACGGGTACTATATCCTGACCTGGTTTCCTCTGAGGCCACACCCTTCCACCAAGATGTTCTGCCTCACCTTGGGCCTAGAACAATAGATTTTGTCATCTATGGATTGAGGCCTCTGAAATTGAGATCGCCAAATAAAGTTTTCCTCCCTAAATTGCTCTTGTCAGGTCTTTTGGTCACAGTGATGACTAAAACACCATTTAACACAGAAGATGCTATAAAGAAAGTTTTCATTTCTTAGGGCCAAGAATAAAATACTTTTGTGGAAGAAAGTTACAATGAATCAGGGAAGTGGGAAAAAAGGGTAAAAGAAAATCTGGTATGGGCTGAGTTTGGATAGAAGTGAAACTGGAAAGAAGCTTCCAGAAGCCAGCTTGGATACCTAGAGTTGGGCTCCCAGTACCTCAATTGGAGGTAGATCTCAGAGCATGACACTCTTTGCCAAACAAATCTCCAAACTAAGAGAAGAAAACAGGTAAAGTTCTAATGACTTCTAGGACTCACTCCAGCATCCAAGCAAAACCATGCCTGAGACTAATAAGTCCATAAAGTGTATTCCTGGAGTGTCTGTTATTAAGCTGCTGTCTCTTGGCTTGCAGAATCCCAAACCCAGCATCATAAGGATTCTGCAAACTGCATTCCTATTTTGCCACCTGACTGTAGTAGAATCTCTTTGCCAAAGTAGGACACTAGAAAGAAACTGGAAAATTGAGGAGGAATGAAAGATGGCTCCTTTGGCTTCCCATGGACTTTCTGTGTGTTGTCTTATTCCTGTGCTTCTCACCCTAGCAATGCTTCTTCACCATGGCAGTGATACTTCTTTCTTGTAACATTAGTTAAATGAAATGTGGGTTGAGATTTCTCTAAGACTTGTAGATCCAAGTTTAGGAGACACCTGCACCAGCTAGCTAATACCCCATCCTCCTTGAGCTCAAGGGCCCAGAATCAGCCACGTGGTGTGCCCTCCTTAAAGGATGCTTCCACCACTTCTCTTCAACACCATACTACAGATCTTTGCCATTGTGATAATGCAAAAATAAAAAAGGAAATTTAAAAACATCAGGTAGGAAGAAGTACAATGTTTTCTCTTTGCAGATAACATGATTATTTACATAGAAATTTCTAAGGATTTTATAAAGAAAATGCTAGAACTAATAAATGAAATTATCAATGTCACAGGATCGAGCTTAGTACAGGTTGAGTGTCCCTAATTAAAAATCTTACATCTGAAATGCTCCAAACCCAAGCCTTTGTAAGAGCCAACATATCACAAGTGGAAAATTCCACACCTGATCTCATGTGATGGGTTTCAGTCAAAATGTAGATGTGTTGAAAATACTACATAAACAAATACTCAGGCTATGTGCATAAGGTATAAATGAAACATATGAATCTTGTGTTTAAACCCAGATCCTATCCCCAAGTTATCTCATTATTTATGTGCAAATATTCCAAAAACAAAACAAAACAAAAACACTCTGGTTCTAAGCATTTTCAATAAGGAATACAGGAAACAAGGAAATAAGCTACAAATTATATTCCACAGCATACAACATGAAAAAGAAAATTTTGAACTTCCGTATATAAAAGCATAAAAAATATTAAACCCTGAGAAGATAAGGTTCTGTCGTCCAGGGTTTAGTATATCATTTCAATCAGAGAACAATGTACGCCATTGTCTCTTCTGCAGCCAGAATACATGGGTCTGAGAAAGCACAGGTGGCACTGAGTGTAGCTCCTCTCATAATCACACCCAATAATCCACCCGCAGAGGTTTTGAATCTATCTCTGATGCATTTAGTTCTAATGTTTGGAGGACTTTGTTCACAAGAGAAAAGTCCTTACAACAATTGTTACATGGGACTGGTGTTTGAGACTGCTACCAGGTCATTCTAAGTTCTTCATACCACTAACACAGAGGTGAAGAAGGAGGCCTATTCTGCTGACTGAGTAGTGGATTCTGTTTCCTAGAGGAAATGAGATCAATGCCAGAAAATATAGGCGGGAAGGACTGTTTCTGGGACCCAAGGGATTCTCTGAGACAATTCTTACTACCTCCTTTTCCAACAGTAAAAATTAACTGAAAATGGCAGAAACTCATAAAGGGAAGAACCACTGAAGATTCAGACTTTTCACATAAAGAACTCTGGCTGGCTAAAGGTTTGGCTGATGGAAGAGGACACATGGAATGTGTAATGGAAGGAGGAAGTTTTAAATACCAGCCGCTGTCCTGTGACAGGTTGCAGAAATATGTCCTGCCACAGCTCCACGTAGTTACTAGTTGGCAGCTGCTCTTATTCGTCTGTGTATATATGTGTGTATGTATATAAATGATCTATTTTATTATTCTTAACTCTCTTTCCCTTATTATTTAACATGTTTTATTAAAGGTCAATTCTATATTTTAGTACTTAAGAAACATAATATTCAGATGGGATTGGATTTGAAAGTGAGGTATAATTAACAGCCCAGAGATCTCTAGAAATATTTTATGGTGTGGGTTTTATCAACCTCATTTTGGGAAGGAAGAAACCATGAGATATCTATTTATGTGTTTTTAATCTTATGTTTTAAATGTCTATTTTGCAACTGCGTTTTATACTGGTAAAACACACACATAATTTATGCATAGATAAATAAACATACATCAGGAGGACATGCTAAAAATCATGATGGGGATACGTGACCAAAAAACATTTGAAGACCAAGAGGTTAGAGCATAACCATAGAGACCAGAGATACAGTTTTGCTACCTCTGTGGGCTATTTTAGTTTTGTAAAGAGGATACTGTATTCCAAAGTCACAGGCAACCTTCCCTCATGCATTCAGTACCATCTTGCATATGGCACCAGAAGTTGTGGTGCGTAAGTAGACTACACCTTCTTTCTGCTTAAATGGTGAGTGCCCACCATGGGCGTCATATCTGGAAGCCAGTGCTTACATGAGCTTAGTCAGTAGACTCCTAGGGCAGTGATCTAGTAAGCATTTAGCTCACTTTAATTCCCATGTTCTGTCTAGTGGAAATCTCTACAAACAATGCATCAGAGATCCCCCAGAATAACGAAAACTGATGTTCACACAAGTCCTGAAGGATTATATAAGTATAGTATACTTCCCCAATCAACCTAGAATACTATAATTTATGCTCAGTTTTGTATATTCTTGGAACAATGTAGCACTCCATTAGAAAAACCATTTTATTGAGTTCAGTACTTCCTTTAGCTAGACCTGACAACAAATATTTACTGTATTTCTTTCATTTAATCAACCATCTGATTCCTCCATCTATGACCTATTTCACTGCCCATGTATTTACTGAATACCTATAAAGTGAACAGACTCAGAAAAGAGATAGATGAAGAAAATGTCAAAGTCCTCACCTTTCTTATCTATAAAATGATGAAATTGAACTATAATGACCTCTAAAATCTCTTTAATAGAATTAGTCTGTATTAAATAATGGACCCTAAGCATCCAGAGTTGCTTTTCTAACATTGATCCTAATCCCTCAAATATAAAAATCTAAAGCCCCCTTCCTCTCCACCCATTCCTTTATTATTGCTCAAGTCTCCTTTCAAAAAATGTTACTGGCTCCAGATCCTGAAGAGTTCAGTTGATTATTACCTATTGTGTAAGCTAGCTGTTCCTTACTTTAATAAATACCTGAGATACCCAACTTCTAAACAGGAAAGCTTCATCTCAGCTCATACGGTTTTGGAGGTTTCAGGTCCATGGTAATTTGGCCTGGTTGCTTTGGGACCTGAGTCAAGGAGGTCTATCATGGTGAGGAATGCATAGTGGAGTAGAGCCATTCACTTACATGGACACAGCATGAAAGAGAAGAAAGAGACCTGGGTACCACAATCACCCTCAAGAGCACATCCCCAATGACTGAAGACCTCCCTCTAGGCCTGCCTCCTAAGATTCCATCAATTTCTGGTAAGAGCATTCTGGGGAACAGACCTTTAACACACAGACCTTTGGGGACACTCCAGATACAAATGATAGCACCTATGAACAGCCAAGAAACCAAAGCAGTGTGTCAGAGAATCTGCTTTGTGCTCAGAGCTGACCACCAGCTGTCTGGCACAGAGTGTCTGGAAATGAGAGATAGCCATTATTTTTGTGGACAATGTTTTTCTCTCTTAAAAATAATTGCTAACCATTGTTGACAGACTGCAACTTGTAAAGCTCTACTTAGTGGAAAAGCAATTAGGGACAAACAGCACTTCATTTCTAGTTCATTTGGATACTAGCAACCAGAAAATTTTCAGAAAACCAAAGAGTGTTATGAGTGAATCTGAATGAGAGAGGAGCTTTCCTTGTTAATAAGAAGAGGCACGTTCACCTAACTGGCTGCCAGCACACAAACACATCCACACAGTTATATGTTCTAAAATTTATTTTACTAATTAGACAGCAGCCTCCCTTCCAAAATATCACTCAGAACTGGGCATTTCCCAAGTCTTTTAAATACATCCCATTTGTAAAACCTCTGTTTCACATTTCTGAAATAAAGTTACTTGTCATGTGCTGATTGTTTTAATTAATTTCCAGTCTTCTAGTTCACCAGTTCTTGTAGACTTTGTGATCTGTAAGTCAGACATAAAACCTCTTAACCTATTGAGGTAATATTCACACTGGAACTGGCAGTTCACTGCTTCACTATCCTCATGGGTAAGCCAGTACTTCCCTAGATCTCCACTCTCTGAAATTCTATCACCTACAAGTTTATTATATATCAGAGCATCTGTGGAAAGGAGTTAGTTTCTTCATCTGAACCATGAACCATAAAATAAAGATTAAATCTTTATTTAATTTTTAATTATTTAAAGGGCCATGGGGTATCAATCAAAGCCATTCAACTGTTACACTTGTAATAGAATAAATTTCATAGTTACTTAAAAGAGAAGAGTTGTTTTCTTTTACATTTGAAAAGACAAGGAGAATATGGATGAAATAAGATTTCAGTGGATATTTATGGTTCATAATTAAAAGGGACTACGTCCTACTAAGACCCCTTATAACTTCTAAACCTGCAATGTGAGGACATCATTTTTTTTAATATGTTCTTTATTTATTGGTGATTAGGATTGCACATAATTGTGGGATTCACTGTAATATATTCATAGATGTGTCTAACATTATTTGATCAATTTCATTTCCCAGTGCCTCCTCCTCCCTTCCTCCCTCCCTCCCTCCCTCTGCTCCCCTTCCTCTATTCCACTGGTCTCCCTTCTACTTTCATGTGGTCCCTTTCCCCATTTTTTCCTCTCTAGCTTCCACATATGAAAGAAAACATCTGACCCTTGACTTTCTGAGTCTGGTTTATTTCACTTACCACAGTGCTCTCCAGTTCCATCCATTTTTCTGCAAATGGCATAATTTCAATCTTCTTTATAGCTGAAAAAATCTTCATTGTGTATATATACCACATTTTTTTCCATTTATCTGTTGATTGACACATATGCCGATTCCATAATGTGACTATTCCATAATACTGACTTTAATTCTTTAGGATAAATACTGAGGAGTGGTCTACCTGGGTCATATGATGGTTCCAATGCTTGACTTTTGAGGAAACTCCATACTGCTTTCCATATTGGTTGTACTAATATGATATATCAAGAACTATGTAATGTTTTGAACAACCAACAATAAAAATTAAAAAAAAAGAAACACTTGTATGCTATTGGTGAGGACATCATTTTCAACAGGATGAAAAGTAAACAATATGGGAGAACTGCCATCTGCATTAGCTCAGGTAGCAACTTCCAAACTCCCCTTTGCCTCCTCTGAAAGAGAGTTTAAATGCATTCAGATAGCTCTGAGTAAGTGCTGTGGGAGTTCCAAGGATTTCAGCAACTCATCCTCTCAGTCAGCAGGAAATTTCTGCTGAAGACCTCCAATTACTTTAGCACTTAGCAAACAGTGGTGAATGAAAAACATCAGCACTGCCCACAGGCAAGCTGCTTGCAGAAAACCTCCCCAGCCAGCACCGGGCTCCTTCCTCTGTAGAGTATGGTCTTGATGGCTCAGTAATGGGCCAAGGTTGGTTCCTGTAGGTGAGCAAGGGAAATAGAACTAGAGTAGTTTTGAATTCAGTTCATGACCCAGAGTTCAGAGGTCAGTTACAGAGATGTCACTTGAAGTAGAAAGGAGCCAAATGGCTTAAAAGAGAGACTTTGGCTACTAGAAATCTCTAAAAGCAACTGTAAAACTAAATCTGTTCCCAGAACAATGCACTGAAATCCAGAGGGGATGGCCTAAGGGGTATAAAATATTAAAAAATTAATTGTGCATATAATTTGATTAAACAATTTATCTTTTGGGAATTTGTCTTAAGAGTATAATCAAAACAGTATGCAGACACAGAAGTGTTGGTTTTAGTACTGTCACTAGAAGCAAACTGAATGTTCATATTAGATACTTTACTAAATAAATTATGGCACATAATAAAAAGAGACTATTTAGTCACTACAAATGGATGAGACACTCACATAACTATTAAGATGTTTATGATACATTTTTTGGTGATAAAGGCAGATTATGCAATGAGTGTGAGTCCATTTTGGTTGGGTGAATGGATACATAATTGAATGTACTCTTCTTGGCTTCCTCACTGCTGGTACCAAACTTTGTATGGCTCAACATGAGAAGTAGGAACTGGTTAGTGACATTACACACACACACACACACACACACACACACCACAGTATGTACATGAAGCTATTTGTTACAGGGGATTGGTTTATGCAGTTAAAAGGATGGGGTAAGCAAGTGTTTGTAGGCTATGTATCTGTGTCGGATGCTGGATCTTAATATTCACAGAGCAGACAGGAAGGAAAACTCATACAAACAGGTTGGAATCCCACTAGAAAGGACTGCAACCTCTGACTGATCTTGGTGATGAGGGTATCCTGCAGAAGCTGGGTCATTTGTCACAGAGCTGAATGCATGTGTCTTCAGAAAAACTGAAGGACAATTCAGGAGTAGCAGAGGAACTGCAAGCCTAACTGCTGCCTCAGAATAACAAGGTGAGTCAGCAACAGTGTGTGTCAACTGCCCAAAGGTTGCCATCTCCCTCTGCCTTCCCAATCTTATAAGAATCCCCCTTGAGACCCACCCTAACCAGAAGGATACAAGAATTCTTGGAAATGAAATTCAGACTAGCAAGGTGACACATTGCAAAGCTGTCACAGAGGTCACGTTGGAATCTAGCACAGGGTGAGACCCCAGTGGTCTACCTGCTCTTGGAACTTCTGAGTTAAGCAGACTTGCTCACCCAGCTCTGGATGGAAATAATTGCTCACATGGTTTAAATAATTTTATCTTTCTTCATGGCAAGCACAGTGTTCAGAAATTAAAGCATCTATGATATGTGAGAAGATACTGCTTTTGAAAATG